GGAAGAAAACCACGAAAGCCTCCCACGGTTAGCATGGCCATGGGACTCAAACCCATGATACTACTTAGGATATTTTACATCAGCATAGTGGTCGGCGTGAATCGGGTGCTGAATTTGTATCGACCAGCCATCGCTGGGATTCGAACCTGGTTCACGTCATTGAAAGGTGAATGCTCTCTATCCCATCACGGGTCTCTTAGCGATATTCTCTCAGCTTTTTGTTTCCTTTCTGAATAAAACTAAGAGAAAAAACAACCTGCAAATGATATGATAATTATCAGCTCTCGCTGCCGTTTTGGACTGTTTCTGCTATCTGGGTCACAATGGATTATATCAAAGGGTACCAACTTTTTAAAACTCTTTCTAAAATCAAACTCCGTCACCATTACTTTCTAGCTTTAAAGCAAATCTGATGGAAACATTATTCACCATATTATTAGCGATAGAAATGGACTACAGATGGCGTAGAGCAGAACTCTCTACCTATGGCAACACTGCGCATGCTCTCACCGGTAGGGTGTGGAGAGTCATGGGAGAAGGAAGTACGTTAGTTTCCGTCTTGATTTTCAAATAGATTAAAAACTTTTAAATTATGAAACCATATGGACTACATTGAACATATTTTTAAAAGAAAGAGTCGAGGAAATTTTTAAAAACATATGTTTTTGACAGTTAAATATTAAAGAAAGGGGAAAATATCGTAGTCCAGTCCTATACAACTGAGAAGAGGGAAGGGGGGGGGCTACTTTAAGGAGGGAGAACGCCGAGAAGTTTTCGAGAAATCAGCCCTCAATGAAATAGCTATACATCATATTGAAATATTTTTCTAAATATATGATTGTTATGATCTTATTAAAATATTTTTTTAATGAATATTTGTTATGATTTGATCGAAAATTAGTTTTCTTTGTTTCTGTTTTTGTTACTAATTTCTGTAAATGATAATAAAACATTACATAATTCTCACAAATGCTCAAAATTTCGTAAACATAAGAAATATAGAGCTATACTTTTATTTCAATTGTTAGAATTTATCAAAACTTAGAACTTATTCATCCCGATATTTTAGAACATTTTTTTTTCCCCGATAACTTATAACTTCCGCAGCACGATAACGTTTTTCGATTTCCCCCCCCCCCAAACATTTAGACTTTTTTAACTATGTGGCTAATAGTTTTACATAGGTAATGTAAAAGTGTACGTCTGTCTGTTACTGAATAAGCTATTCTTTAAATTACCGAAAGGAGATATGGATTATGAAACATTTTTTGTACAAACAATGCATTTATTTTCTTTAAAAAAAGCGGGAAAAAAAACGGATGGAAACTTTAAANTGATTTATGAGTTCTTCTTTGTTTCTGTTGCTAATTTTTGTAAATAGATAATAAAACATTACATAATTCTCACAAATGCTCAAAATTTCGTAAACATAAGAAATATAGAGCTATACTTTTATTTCAATTGTTAGAATTTATCATAACTTGGAACTTTTTTATCCCGATATTTTAGAATTTATTTTTCCCCGATAACTTATAACTTCCGCAGCACGATAACGTTTTTCGATTTTTTTCCCCCCAAACATTTAGACTTTTTTAACTATGTGGCTAATAGTTTTACATAGGTAATGTAAAAGTGTACGTCTGTCTGTTACTGAATAAGCTATTCTTTAAATTAACGAAAGGAGATATGGATTATGAAACATTTTTTGTACAAACAATGCATTTATTTTCTTTAAAAAAATCGCACAAAAAACGGATGGAAACTTTAAACTTTATTTCTAATCATGCTGTTTACAGAAATGTAATGTTATAACTTTATGAAGAAAAAAAAACACAAGAAATAAAATTGGGATTTCTCTCATCCTATGGTAACTCTTACATGTAAAACTGCTCCATATGTTTGATAATAGCATTTATAAATTACTTTAATATGACGACCATTCGTTTTTGGAATATGTTCAAACTGGTAGCTGTACGAAGCTAAAATTGTTGTTGGAATTGAGTTAGATTTTAACCTTCATCCTGGAGTCGCGGTGGCTCAGGGGATAGAGTACTTACATTCCAATGAGATGACCCGCACTGAGCAGGGTGCTGAGGTGAAATATCTCTTCGGAAGACGAAAAAGTAAAAGAGATTCTATTCCACTGATCCGTGCAGAGGACTCTAATCCCAACCATGAGAGGGGTTGTCCTCTCTATGTAAGGGAAATGCGGTCCAGTTCCCTCCAAAAAGTTCTCCAAGAAGGCAAATTCCACCCGATACTTGACCCAGGAGTTCCCTTGTCTTCTGGATTGGATTCAAAATTGACAGCCGTAGAAGGTGAACATTAGTAGACGTAAACTTTAAATTGGGTCGGCTGTTGAACAGGGTTTTAAAATAAAATGATCCTTAATTGCACAATTTGGGCTCTAGATACTAATTTTATTTTATAGCCAGCGTTGAACAGTCGACCCAATTCTGAGTTCAAACTCAAAAATTGGGTTGGGTGTTCAACGACGGTTATAAAATAAAGTATGCTTACTGAGCTGTGATGGCTCAAGGAATAATGAGGTGAACGAGTTCGAATCACAGCGATGGCTGGTCGATACGAATTCTGCACCTGGCTCGCACCGACCAAAGTGCTGGCGTAAAATATCCTCGTGGGTTAGATCCCCCTTGCCGCCAAGCTAAAGCGGGAGGTTTTCATGGTTTCCTTCTCCAGGTTGAGCAAATGCTGGCAAATTCCACCAAAAAGTCCTGATTACTCCCAATACTTGATCCAGGAGTTCTCTTGTCTTTTGGATTAGGTTCAAAATTACAAGTCTACGGAGTTGAACATTGGTAGTCGTGAACTCAACATTATGCCGTCTGTTCAACGACTGTTATAATACGAGATAAAAAAAAAACATGCTTACGCAATAATTGAACGGTCCCTAAACTGCGAATTGTCTAACATTTTTAAACTTCTTATAAATGTAACTCGTCGTGAAAGAAATTGCGTCATTCCAAGCCGACACTTTTCTTATTTGAATACATGTACATCAGCCTACATCATGCAAAAAAAACTCGTTAGAAAAAAATAAACCAACATCACAAAAAAGGTGATGAGTTTATTCTGAATAACATGCAATCAACTCAATAATTCCCCTAAAGTCGTTTTCACCGTACGCTAACCATGCATACCAAAAAACCAGTTTTACAGATTTCTCTGTCTTATTTTAGTTCTTGAAAGTATTCTTCGGACAACTGTGGCCATTTTCCTCTATTGTTCTAAAATGGCCTGTAAGACAAATTCTTCGAAAAGAATAGTTTGGGAAAAACCATTTCATCTTTTCCTTGTCTGATTCATTGCTTCAAAAAAGAAAGAAGAAAGGAACGAGTTGCCCATGATTAAACATAGACATTATAAGTACAATAAAAGGAAAATAAATAAAGAAAATATAGAATGGGTAAAAAGATTAAAAAGTGCGGATTTCGTTAAAAAAAAAAAAAAAGCTATAAATTAGGAAATAAATAAAAATATTAAAAAATTGTGGATTTTGTTAAAAGAGTAATGAAGTATGAAATAAATAGATATTTAAAAAGTGTAGATTGTGGAAAAAATAATAAAATATGATATAAAATGATTTAAAAGTGTGGCTTTCGTTAAAAAAATATTAAAAAATGTAGATTTTGTAAAAAACAGTTGTGAATTAAGAAATAAATGAAGTGATTGAAAAAAGTGGATTGTGTTTTAAAAAAATTTTATAAAATATGAAGGGGAAAAAAAGTAATAAATGTAGATTGTGTTTAAAAAATTAAAAATTTTGAAATAAATAAAGAACTTAAAAAGTGTAGATTTTGCGGGAAAAAAACAACAACTGTAAAACAGGAAATAAATAAAAAAATTTAGAAAGGCAGCTTTAAAGAAATGGATAAAAATATTAAAAAGTTTTGAATTTTTCTCTCCATTTTTTTTTCTTTTTAAATTTTAAATAATTTATTTTTTTGATTGCTTATCTCTTCCCATTGTTCTTATATATGTTCTTATATATTCTTATGTATTATTATGTTCGGCTGTGAAGATCGATTACTAATCTGAACTATTTTTATTACGGTTCGATTCTAGCTTTAGTGTTTGTAATCTTGCAATCGCAATTTCGATTTGTTTCTTTGTTAGTTAGAACACTCAAATCACAATAAGAGCTTTCTGTCGTTTCTGGACCACTACAAGCAGAATTTATCTTATTGATTTTGTATGACACAATGATAACATTGAATTTATCTTATTGAATTTATGCGTGACATCAAAAGAAGTAATTAATGAGATGTAATTTTACTAGTTAACAATCTATAACGTTAAACTTATAGTGTAGAACAGTTCAAGTTGCAAGCGATTTTTTTTTTCTCTTGATACATTTATATTTAAAAGAAATCTATATAAATGTCATGATATACAGGGTGTTTATGAAGTCCCGGACCCATTTTGATTTATGAGTTATGTTTAGTAACTCATAAAATAATAAAGATAGATTAAAATTAATAACATAAGTGGTTAGATAGACTCAAAAAGTTTCATGACCCTTGTCAATGAACTTCCACGTGTGCCCCCTTTGTCGCACGGAGAATATCAAGTCGATAGTCAATTTCACACCAGGTAGCGGCAAGCGTGTCGGCATCCACAGAGACTATTGCGGTTGTATTTCTAGCTTTTAGGTCATCAATGTTCGACACGCTCCTCCTGTAAACATTGTCCTTTATAAATCCCCAAAGAAAAAAGTCCAGCGGCGTTATATCAGTTGATCTGGGTGGACAAGGAATTGGACCTCCTCGCCCAATCCATCTTCCTGGAAAATGGTCATTCAAAGAACTACGAACGATGATACCCCAATGAGGTGGTGCACCATCTTGTTGCAAAAAGACATGTGGCTGAAGATCTTATAGTTGTGGAAATACGAAGTTTTCCGACATGTCTAAGTATACGACTGATGAGAACGTCTTTTCTGTAAAAAGCATAGGCCTAATGACTCGGTCGTGCATTACCACACCACACATTAACCTTTGGGGAATCCCTTTCTGTTTCACGGTACTCATGGGGGTTTTCAGATCCCCATATGCGCACATTATGGCGATTAACAATGCCAGAAACATGAAAGGATGCTTCGTCGGCGAACATTATGCGCTTCAGAAAATCAGCAGCATCTTCTATCCTTCCTACCATATCTGTTGCAAACGCCATCCTCCTAGGCCTTGCTATCGACTTGATATTCTCCGTGCGACGATGGGGGCACAAGTGGAAGTTCATTGACAAGAGTCATGAAACTTTTTGAGTCTATCTAACCATTTATAGCATTAATTTTAATCTATCTTTATTATTTTATGAGTTATTAAACATCAAAATGGGTCCGGGACTTTATAAACACCCTGTATATTTGACAACATTTTTTTTTGTTGTTACTTTTGACATCAAGTTAAGCTTGAGCTAATAAAAGGATGATCTCGAGAGAGATAAATTTTTCGACAACAATCATTATTTAAAGGAAAAACAGTAAAAAAAAAAATCCGCGAAAAAAGTACCTAAAATTGCAACTTTCAAACAAAATGAAATTTCAAAAAAAAGAAAAAAATCTCGTTGCGTTTATTATTAAAAATAGCCCATTTAGCATGTCAAATTTCAACTCTGCATTTATGCAGGCAATAGATTTTATCTTATTTATTTATTTTTTTTTAAGATTTTAAGTTGATGATTCTCGAACTTACAGTCAAATCTTAAGTTTTATTTTTTCCATCGAACGTCGTGTACATTTGCATACACACCTTATTAATTTCACATTTTGCGCAGCAAAACAAACACAGCAATAAAAAGTAAGAAACAAATTGTAAAAAAAAAAAAAAAAAAAAAAAAAAAAAAGAAAAAAAAAAAAAANAAAAAAAAAAGAAAGAAAGAAAAGCATTTAAAATCGCAATAACTTTCGTATAAACTGTAATTTACAAAACGAAAAAAAAAAAATCTCTTTAATTTCATTAACAAATATGTCCTTTCCAACTTGTCAAATTTCAATTCGGTAGTTGCATTTTTGCTGCTCATATGGTGTTTTTTCTTACAAATTTAACAGTTAATAATTTTCGAACTAAATAACATTCATTGACATTAAATTTTTTTTTCTCTAAGTCTTACAGTTTTTGAGCTGCAAAACAAAATGCAAAGTTTAGTTGAAGACCCAAATCAGTGGTGGAAGCTATTACGATTTTTTTAATATAGAGAGAGGTACTAGCGTTGTTATAAATGATGTATCAGTTAACAAATTTTTTTTCTCCTCTTCTGAGACTTAATACAGAGTTAAGCTTCGGAAGATTTAAAATTATTAGCTTAAATTATAACATTTTTCGAATTTAAAAAAAAAAAAAGTCTTATTGAGAAATAATTATTTGTAAATTATTTAAATCACAATAGAAAAAGTGTAAATATTGTTGTTGATTCTAATATCACTTACTAAGACGGGCAAGCCTGCCTGGTATAACTAAGCGAAATCAAGGCTAATGATGTGTTTCCTGTTTTTCCAGGGGCGCCATCTGTGTTCAAAAAAACGATTATCAGCCACACGCACACGTCACAGACTGTTTTACAGAACGGACTCAATCCTTCGCAGATCGTAATTTTGACATGCACTAGAGAACGACCAATCCCTAATTCAGTACCAGCGAGGGTATTGATTTATTATGGGAACTTGGAGGACTTTGTGACCCCGACAGAGTTAATGTGCACCATTGTGCTGTCGCCCGTGTCTTTAGCCGGCGGGGAATCAAACTCACGATCATTCGGACATGGTCCTAACGCCCTACCAACCTGGCTATCCCAACTTGTGTAGAAATTTAGAGTTGCTTAAGAGCCTTAGTTCCGCAAAATTCAAACTAAGCCTTATATGCATTCAATAAATTAAAATGTATATAATTTCAAGCTACTAAGTACTACTACTATTCAAGTAACTAAGCGAATTAAAGGCAAAGGGTGTGTTTCTTGTTTTCAGTCACACACACACGCGCGTCCAGTACTTTGACCAGTACTAGAGAACGATCAATATCTAATTCAAGATATTGATATGCTAGGGGAACTGGGAGGAGCTTCTTACCCTGACAGATTTAATGTGCACCATTGTGCTCCCCCTCTCGTGTCAGCGGCAGGCAGGGATCGAACTCACGACCTCTTGAGCATGGAACTAACACATTACTAACCAGGCTACAACGGCCTGTGTAAATATAAAAATTGGAAAACAATTTTAGAGCTGCTTAAGAGTCTTACTCATTTGCGTTCCGAAAAATTTAAACTAACCCTTATATGTATTAAATAATTTTTAAAGTACATATTATTTCATTCGAAAAAATATTTAATTACATTAAATTCTGGCTCAACTGTCCGAATTGAAAATGGATGTTAAACTCAGATAATTACGAACGAGTTGTTTTTTTCTCCAGTACTTTTTTCTGGACCCCTTTTTCCAAATCTGTGTTTTATAGTTTTTAATATTGTTTTATAATTTTTCCTTATTAAGAACGCTAAGAGTGGCTCAGTGGCTCAGGGGATAGAACGTTAGCCTCCCCTAGAGTTGACCCAAGTTAGAATCCCAACGGTTGGCTGGTTGGTACGTATTCTGCGCCCGGCTCACTCCGACCACAGTGCTAGCGCAAAATATCCTCAGTGGTAGACGAATCATGGGTTAAAGATCCCCTTGCAGTTGGGCTAACCACGTGATATTTTCGTTGTTTTCCTCTTCAGATAATGCAAATGCGGGTAAGTTCCATCAAAAAAAATCTACGCAAAAAATCTATAATAATTTGTCCCAATGCTTGATCCAGGAGTTTCCTTGTCTTTTGGGTTAGGTTCGTTATTTACAAAGCTAAATATAGTCGTAAACTCAGAATTGGGTCGGCTGTTCAACGACTGTTATAAAATAAAACTAGTCATATTTTAATTTTGGGACGTAGCTAAGTTAAGTGCTAACCGAGCATATAGCCAAAACGTAGATTGTGCACCTATGCAAAGTCGGTTATAAAATAAAATTAGCAGCTATAACAGTAATTAATATTTATTATTAACGATTGGTGAATTTTGTTACTAATTTTCAACTTCGATAAGAATAAATAATCTAGCCTTGTAAAGAGAACACATGAATTCGTTTTCTCAGTTATTAGACTATTTAATAGATATATATTTTGTAAAACAATTTAAATGTTAAAAATTGTTTAAAGAGTGTTAACTGAAATTAAAATAAACGAGCAAAATACTTTTGTATTAATTTCTTCGAATACGAATGATGGGATTTATAGATTTCATATTACACCATTTTCAAAACTTTTTATTATGCAGTCTGAAAATTTAATTCAAAACGTTAAAAAATTTAAGAATGTCTTTTCCATTTATTATGCAATACATACATTTAATTCGAATTATAATATCATTACTTTTATAAAGAAACAATGAACTCTGAATTATAAAACTAAAATCACAAGAATAAACCATTGAAAATACATGGCGATTGTATCTTCAATGCGTTTTCTGCGAAATTTTAGCAATTTTATTAAAAATCCATAATTTTTCAATTAATTTAACGCAAAAGCAAATAAGATTATTAATTTTTTAATTGATTGATTATTTTAAATGCTTATAAATTTTTTTTTTAATAATAGGAACCGAAATTTGATTAATCAGCTCGCTTCGACAGTCGATCATAACTATCAACTAATAAAAATAAAAAAATAAAAAATATTCGTATGAAAGAAAGACTTGAATAAAGATTCATTGTTATCTTATTGAAAATATGTTTCATTTTATTGAAATTATGGAAAAACTTTTCATTATTTGGTTTACAATTAAATAAATAAATAAAAAATATTTGAATCACTTAAAAAAAACAATTGAATTATTTAATTATGAAAACAACTGCTATTGTATATTCAAGTCATTTGAATAAATAAAAACTCCTGCAGGTATTTTCCCGTTCGTTCACCGAGTTTGTTTACTTTTATGTAAGAAAATGAATTCCTCATTTCCGAGAACAGTCTTTTCAAAATGATCACCCCTTTCGCATCATAAAACTGGCATTTTGCCTTATAATCCCGAAAGGAGGTCGATGCCCACTTTCCAAATTCGGATCCAACCGCTCCGAACCGGTTTCTTCTGGATTTTCTCTTTCTGGCTGCTCTTGGTAAAGTGCAGAGAAATATCACCTCACATCAGGCGAATCGTCGCGAAATGGGCTACTGGAACAAATTTTTTTCTCTTTAAAATATTTAATACAAACCCTCTCGTAAAATTTGCATTGGTGTAAAATGCAGATCATTGCCACAATTTAAATAAATAGAGCTAAAAAATTTTAACTCTTTGTTTTAAAACCGTTTTCCTAATAATTTAAAAAAAAGTAATAAATTCGTCAGCTTTTATAATCAACCGTTTTATTTATTATCATAATTTTCTTTTTCCCCCCTTTTATTAAATAAAAATAAAAAATAAAAAAAACCAGGATAACAATTTCTGCACAGCAAACGATTTTGTCACATCAGGCGTGTCGTCGCTAAAAGAAATACTAGAATAAATATTTTTTTCTCACCGAACATTAAACAGAATTACGTTCGTAAACTTAGTGATGCTGATCGTTGCCACAATATAATTGAGTTAAAAATTGATCTGAAACCTTATGTTTAATATCGTTTTCGCCATAATTTTAAAGCAATTTAGATTTTCTAGAAAAATATATTTGAGACAATTTTTTAGCTATTAAATGATGTCAATTTATTTTATCATCAGCTTTATTATTATTATTAATATAATGAAGAATAGCAGTTTTGTTGAGCAGACGACTTTTTTAACTTAAAATGCCAGTTCATTTTCAGTTTCCAACTTTTGCTTTAGAAATAAGCATGTTTAGAAACTTTTTTTTTTATTATTATGGAGAAAGTTATTGATTTTTAAATATTTCTCAACTAATTCTTCAACGTAACCTTTATTATTATTTATTTATAGATTTATAAATCTCGTTTTTCAGTTGCAAAACAGGAAAGGTTTTTAAATGAATAGAAAAAAATTACGTTACATCATAAAGTGTAACGCTTCACAAAATCAACTTCTCGCGTAATAAGAGCGCAATCATCGCGTTGCAAAATAACAGTTTTAAAATAACACTACATGATATCCGACGCGTTCCAGAATTTGTTAATTCTATCAAACACCTGATGTCACATTCA